GGTCGAACAATAGTTTTTCTAGGAACAATAGAATAAATCGGACAATAAACGTCCGTAAACCTAGCGTTAATATTCTAAGCACTCATGACGTTATCAATAAATAGAACGTATCGTAATGTAAGTCTGTTTAAGCGAGGAATTTAAACAATGTCGATAACAATAATCAATAAATGGGAAAATTAAATTGGCAGAATTAAAATAATTGAAAATTGGAAATGTCATTTCTACTGTTGACCGAAGTGACATTTTGTTGGTGACTGTTTGGAGATGGAGAGTTTTGCTATTGCATTATTATGGTTTAAGATATTCTTTGTTGTCGTTGCTATTATTAGTATTAATATTAGTAAAAATACTATTTATTATTACTACTATTATTATTGTCATTTAAAACAGTATTTATTACTGTTGCTATTATTCGTGTTACTATTATTGAAAATATTATTTATTATTACTGCTATTATTATTATGATTATTATTATTATTGTTATTGTTATTATTATTTTCCTTTGTATTTATATAGTTGCCAGAGTTTTTATTACTCAAGGCAATTATTACTTGTACACTAAGTGAAAACTGAGACTCTGTTATAGTGAAGGATAGCTATTTGACTAACTAGACATTACTTGCACACTAATTATTGTTGTAATTATTATTATTATATAAAACGTTATTTACTACTATTTACTATTCATTATTGTTATTGTTATTGCTGAAATTACTCATTAAAAGGAACTTGTATCACAATAGTTATATTTCTTCATAACATCATGAATGCTTACAATTTCGGTTTCCATAATGTTCTCAAATCAATCGGAAAAGTACGACATTAAATTATTGCTGAATTGTGGACGACTGACGCAAGTTCTCGAATAAAACGCCGAGGGACACTTCGGGTTCCAAAGGGCTATGCTTGCTGCATACGTTAAAATCCGACGCCCCCGTGTAAACTGCTCACGTCGAAGAATTCCGCAGCCAAGCTCTGATAAAAAGATATCGTCTGACCGCGTGTCTCTCTGCTGCGTTTCTCCGCGTTAGTACGGGATTACAGTGAAACATCGAAGAGTAAAGTGGGCGAACAGTCGAGAATAGAATTATTAGCTTCAGAGAATTAGATTTTATGTTTAACAACTATTTTCTACTGTTTTGATACTGTTCTCGATTCTTTATGAAACATTCCACTATCTTTGGATAAACGGGACACTCTGTATATAGGACAATAAAGAGCTCAACTCAACTTTCTGTCCTTTTATTTTCACCTTTCTGGAACTTTCCTGATAGACCACAGGTTTCCCTGGATTTCCAAATAAACTTCAAACATAAACTTTCCTAATAAACCTCAACATCAATTTTTCCAGCACACGTGACATTGAAATTGGAATATTTAAACGGGCTGATATAGTAATATGGGAATTCAGATACCATTAAAATTTATATGCTTCTACGTTTGCTGTGAAGAAATAAAAATTCGCGCGTTTCATTTCTTTAATAGAACTTTCTCTTTAATAGAATAGTTCCAAAATAACCAACATGAGTGGTTCAGAATAATACTGGTCTAATTTCTATTTCCGAGTTCTCGGGAAAAGAAATTAGAGCCATCATAGTTTTGAACATTTTTGTCCTTACAAACTAAAAATTCTAAATTGTCTCAATTCAACTTGTCTGGTAGATCTAGTGTTCACTTGAATTTCCTTAAAATTCTACAGTGTAATTATAATACATTATTATTGGTCTCCTCAAAGATGGCACCAATGGCACTAATGTTTTTCATTGGGAACTGTAATTGTGTCTCCGGGAAATCGCAGAATCGCAGTGTCCACGCGAATGCACACAAATAACTACGTGTACGTCAATTAACAAACGAACCGGGGTACTGAAAGTTTTTACAAAAATTAGAACAATATATTCCTCGAGATTTTATGGGTCCCTTATTCTTGTATCTATATAAATACACAAACTTATTTTCCAACCTTTCGCAAAAGCCTTGTCACAATTTAGATATTTGTACACTAAAATTTCTAAAATGTGTCAACTTGACCCTGGTAGTTCTAGTATTAACTTGAATTTCCTTCCAATATAAAATAGTGTGATTATAACACACCATTACCGGTTTCCTGAAAGATGGCACCAATGGCACTAATGTTTTTCATCGGGGACTGTAATTGTGTCTCCGGGAGATCGCAGAACCGCAGTGTCCACGCGAATGCACACACATATCTACGTGTACGTCAGTTAACAAACGAACAAACGAACCAGGGTACTGAACAGAGATCGGTGTAGTGTGTCGTTCGACGAACGATAGCCTGACCCGCGTATGAAATAACGATCCAGCGGCGGTCCAGCTGCTGTCCGCCCACGCGTGACACGTATCCGCGGCTCCGCGGCATTTATTTATCGACAATTCGTTTTACCTGGACGTTATTTACGACACTCGAGGGCGGAAAGAGGTTGCGGCCGCCCTAGCCCCGGTTATCGTGCATCGTCCGAGCGCCGGTCGTCATCGATGACTCGGGCCATGGGAACCGTACGCGACTGATGCATCGATGGCACCGCTTCCATTTAGCATCGATGACTTCGTTGCACGTGATTTTTGGTTTCAGGGGCAGGGGTTGAAAACAGTTATGATATCGGTTTCGGTTTTTAAAGCAGTCGTGGAGAATAGAAATAAACAGTAATTGTTCGTAATATCGGTTAACACATTTAATTCTTAGAAAATCGATTTTTTAGTGACATTTCATAAGTTCGACATCACTATATGCAAAATATTTAAATATCTTATTATTTCATAAGTATTGAACAAGTAATTGGTTTTAATATAATTGAATGTTTGTTTAAATGGCGTGGTAGGTAGCGAAGTTACAAAGGTAGGTTTAAATAAAAACGTGATGTCTCGTTTCTGGCACGCAATGTGTTGACACTAAAACTACCGAGCAATTAAATTGACTTTTTGAAATTCCTCTATGGAAACTCGAAAATTGTATATATTCAGATTTTAGCTGGTTTACAATTCATTTGATTTTCACAGGAAAAGGTGTAGATTTCACTAAATACTGCAACACTAATAAGAAATACATTTATCGAGTTTAGTGTTCGAAGTTTCGAAGCATAACAACCCCTTTACTCAAAACGATGAATTAACTCGTCGTTCAAGTCCAGTTTCATTTCTCAACTCCTTCAACATTTCCGTGTTCGTTCAATAAATAATTTCTATGTTTCATCAACCTATAACACGTACTGAAATATTTTTATCTTTCATCAATCCATAATACGCGTTGAAACAGTTTTATGCTAGTACGAGGCATGTGATATTCAGCTGTATCATTGTCCAGTGTTCACCATATTTACCCTTTGCACTCGAGCGGCGACTCCTAATCGCCAGATGATTTGATACAGGAAAATTATAAATTCTGGTATTTACCATTAACCTTTGTATACTTCATCAATGCGTGAAATATTGAAAGGAAATAGTTTTGTTCCCTAATTTATGTGTGATTTTTTGATAAATTTATTTTAAGGAATCTTGTCTACAACTAATTAGAAAGGTTTGAATGTTTCAAGCAAAGTATGCTTCCATAAATACTCACGTCCGAAGAATACACAATTAAAGCATTAAGCGAGAAATCTCCGTATCAAAAACTCATTACCCCCAATGTAAAAAGTTCTAGTGTAGTCTATTTAAGGCCTATCTGAAGTCATTCGGGTTCAGACAAGATTTCTGTGTAGCGGACTCGTCAACCGCGCCCTGTCAATTGCCGTGTTTTCGTCCGTCAAGGAAACTATCCTGATCACCAGGAATAAACCATCAGCCGCCAATCTCGACCGCCCGCCGCGAACTTTTGCGAGGTGTCGCGGAGTTAACGACACGCCTCGCGATTTGCATCCGGATCAAATATGAAAACCTCTGTTGCGGTCTCTTTATTTTCGGTGCGATGAATTTTTTTATCGTCGTTTTATCGAATATTGAAATCTACTCGGTGTCGAAACAAGAAGGATCGGATCGAAGGAAAACGGTTAGGAGTTTTGAATTATTCATCGATCCTTTTTGTCAAGGCAAGAGAATCAGTGATGGACACTTTCCCCGCGATTGTGCGGGCGAATCGGGTTAGAATAATTGTCGAGGAGAGTGCCGGACCAATGCGACCGGAGAATAATGTGCGATTTGCGCGTTGTTTTTTGGACGTATAATTGATAAGGGAGATAATTGTCGTTGAGGTAATAACTTGAAAATATTGGTACTTATAAGGAGAATTGAAGTTGAGTTTAGTTAACATTGTTAATGTTTGTTATATGCGTGTTTAAGTAGAATACTGCTTTGGTGTTTACTGTTGCTTTGTTTTTATGTGTAGAACTATGCCAACACGTAGCCAGTGAAATCTCTAATTTTTAATATCTAAAATTAAAATCAGAATCTAAGTAATTAAGTTTTCTTTTTAAAGTGAAATGTTACAGGAATTCTAACGTGAAAGTTCTGCTTGTTACATTAAAACGTAGAACTGCGATTGAAATTAAAATTTACTTTCCGAAGGAAGAATTTGAAAAATCCTGGTAGCTAAGCAATAGCTTCTAATATTAAAATATAACACCGAAATTTGAATAATTAGGTTTCGTTTCCAAGTGGATAATTGAAAAAAGATTCTAGTGCCACAAGGTATTTCACCTTCTTACTTGAAGTGTAATCATTTCGACCGTAAACGATCGCGTATACCAGAAACAATGATCGGCATGCGTGCACGAGCGCGCGTGTCTGATACATACGGCACTTTTTCACGAAGTCTGCGGCTGGCCGATGAACGGTTCGCGGGGAATGAGAGATGGAAGGCGCGTGCATCGCGAGTTATGTCACGGTGGGCCGGAGAGTGTCGCACGCGATGAGTTCATCGGGAACTTATCGGGATGCGCATCGCAACTGAAGCGATGATGTCACCTTCTGCTCGCCCCGTTTTATCGTCCGTCGATCGGATTGTCGTCGCGCGTTCCGACGAGCTTCCCCCGACGCACTCGTTCGTTTACTCGTGGATCGCGTGTCACTCGATGCCTGATCCCGCCGCGGATCGACTGCACCGGAGGACGCCGACACGGATCTCTCTCCAACCCCTTCCGGATAACACGGATTTGCTAGTTTTCTCAGGTTTTGGAATCTACTTCTCAATCATTGTATTGATCATCAACTTTTCAATTGTTGAATATGATATTGTA